GGTGTCATCCTGCATTACTTAGTGGGCATCAAAAAAACAGGTATGCCATCACAGGAATAAACAACGTTTTAAAATATATTCTAATATATTTAAAATTGTAATAATATTTCACAATATTGCTGTTTTTACTGTATTTTTGGTGAGCAGATTGTACTGACCCCATACTTTGATTAGTAGTGTATATCTGTGTCCTTTGTCCTATGCAACAGGGTTTAATATACGCAGTGACAGAACCAGTATGCAGTTGTCACAACTGCAGCCGGCCCAGCAGTACCACATCTGGGTGAGCGCTGTGAGTGCTGCTGGTGAAGGCGCCAGGAGCTTCACCACTTTCTTCACCGAAGAAAAAAACAGTAAGTACGAGAAAGATGAGCTGTTTCTTTCTTCCTTTGGGATTTACATTGCATGCATAATCCAAAATACTAAAACATCCTTGTTTTGCATACAGTATGTAGATCACATATTCAGCTTTAGGTAGTAAACCAGTCGTTTCTATCCATCTCATCTCCTAGGTAATGCTACCCTGTTGGCTGTAATCATAATATTGATGTTCCTGGTCTTATTATTTTGTATTTTTAAGTTTGTGTAAGTATAACCTTTCATCATAATTCTATATGGCCAAGAGTACATGGACACCCCCTTGTAAGGGCTGGTTCACACAGAACATTTTTCCATTCCACTGCGCTCCGTAGTTTTTATTTATTTTTTTACATAAATACGTGCTAGACAGATGTGTTTGACTGTTGTGCTTGCATCTATTGCAGCATCTCTAAAAATAAGTTCAACTCAAAAAAAACAAAAAAAAACTTGTCTCAAGTAGGGCTGGGCGATATGGCAAAAAAATGTATCAACGATATAATGTTTCATATCGTTCGGTATCGATAATTATTGGCATTTTTATAACCTTTTTTAAAACAAAAAGCAATAGGAATTTTTTATTTATTTAACCACTGTATTTATAATTAACAATTTATCGAGACAGACAACCAATATTTTTAGTTTTAACAATCAAACACAATAAAAATTAAACAAATATCTAATTTCTAATGTTTTATATGCAGATTAAATAGGTCTTTATTGTATAGGTCTAATTGTCTCCCGAGGCCACAGGAGGGGGTGCAATGAGCAAAATAATGCAGCGCATTTAGCAAGTAACTCTATAAAAACGTGCATTACGTCTAAATGAACTCATAAAAATCTCATATAATTTAGTAAATTGCATAAACAATTATGAACAAAGCAGCATCATGTTTTTATGCATTGCTTAATCCAAAGAGCCGAAGCGCCATTCACACAAACTGCATTTAAAAACATACGAGACGCAGTGAAAAGGAATAAACCTCCACAAATTCGTGACATGTTTTCTAAAAATTTTAACTGTTTTAACTTTGCATGGCTTTCTTTACATCTCTTCTGTGAGACGCGAGTGCAGCAGTCATATTTGTCGATCTAAAAATGCGCTGAATATGCGGTCTGTGTGAATGGCTTGGTTTCGGTTTTAACCCATTCAAGATCTTCTCCGCATTGAGCTTCTATATTTCTCTAATATTCTAAATGCATAACGCATCAGCGGCGCGTCTCGTGGGCTAGACTAACAAAACATTAAAGTACAACAACGTCACTTACAACATCATCACCGCATCTCGTGCTCCACTGATGACGCTCTCTGATGCACCCCTAACATTCAAATGCAAATGTTTATTTTAAATTCGACTAATATTCATTCTTTATTCACAATCTCCTCATCACAGGCAGGCACAGCACTCAATTCAGCATGTGTTGGTGTTTGTGTGTGCTGTCTGCGTCACTCATAGCACGTGCCTATATCGTGCACTATATCGAACATTTTTTCTATTGATATCGACGAAGGTGTACCGTCGATAAATATCGATACCGTTTTATCGCCCAGGCCTAGTCTCGAGCATTTTTTCGCCATTCCACTGTCAGTGTCTCATGTTTTTCGAAAGGTGTCAGATTTGACAAAAAAGCCACCTAGTTTTATATATGCAGATCCCCAGTTATTATGGATAGGAGATAATATTCTAAAAAATGCCTCTTAAAAACGCTGTATGCCAAGTAGCAATACTGAACCAGAAAAATGTAATATATATTGACCAATATAATTAAAAAGCAAGAAATGTAATTAATTTATAAATAAAATATAATGTAAAATATTTAATATCAATATAAAATATTTAAATATTATGGAATATACTAAACAATATAACAATAAAGTACATTTAATTATAATTCAATAAATTATATTTGTATTTGAATTATAAATACATTGAATTTTTTATCTAAAATTATTTTGAAAGTTGAATTATGCTTTGTTACACCGATGTAAGGGGGGGGGGGGTTTCAGGGACAAAAGGTTATGATCCGCAAAAGGTACGGTATCCATATGCTTTTGGCCATATCGTGTATTATTTTCCATTATATTCAGCTATCATCACATTTTGAAATTATGCTCTGCTTTCTATTGCATCACTCTATTTTTTTTTTTTGCATTGGCATTACTGGCATTGTATGCACACACAGTTTAGCATCTGTGCACAAAATGACTTTAACCGGTCAATTTGACATTTTGTGATAAATCAATATCTGCTCTCTAGGTACCGACCATCTTGGTGTTATGTGAAGATCCCAGATCCAATTAACAGTAAAGCATTTAAGCATATGAACATTCAGGTGAGAATCTAAAGTCTTTTGAGTGTTCCATATGAAAGAGACGTCACACTCATACAAAAACAGAACGATATTCATTCATGTTTTGGCTTTTCTTCCAGCACGCGTGGCCACGGCTATGTTCTCCTTCTGAACTGAATATAAAGATCTCTGAGCTGGAGATCGTAGAGAAGCTGGATCGCGACACACCTACTCCTCCATCAGAGACTGAACCAGAGAAGGTTTTAATCGAACCCCAACATTTTCAGCTGCCAAATGGACTGGGCAGAACAAATGAAGGTGGAGATGAGCCTGAGGAATCAAACAGAGGAAGCATTTTAAAGCATGGCAGCTGGGCAAAGGAGTACAGCGAAATGGTCGACACTGATGAAGAGGAAGAGTGGTGGGACCAGCAATGTGTCTCGGACTATGAAAGACATTTTTTGCCTGCTGTTGAGGTGAATTAACTTTTCATACCTCAGGATAGTTCATCTGTACTGTAGTGTCTTAAATGGAACAATCAGAAAGTGTTTGTTCCAAGTGTTTTACTGAAGAACATGGTGTTGAAAAGAGTATTAAGAAAGTGTTATTCATGAAATGACACAGATGTATCCGTGAGAGAGGTCTTGCACAACTATGCGCAGATTTTTACATTTACAGTCTTCCACACTAGCCGCAACATTTAAAGTTGACGTATATTTTTTGCACCACTAGCATTGTCAAGTGGAATAAGGACTATACAGGTTTCTGGAATACTCTCCCCTTTTGCCATTGGTCAGATGTTCCTGCCTCAAACTCATGCCATTGGTTGAGCTAATGTTAGGAGGGTCAGAGTGCTCCGATAAACAACAAAGTTTTGATAGCTCCACAGTCACTTGTGGTTAACACTTTTCAGGGAATTCAACCTACAAATGTCTTACAGTTATCTCTGCACATTAAACCTTGTATTTCAACTTGCACATGCGACACAAATGAGACGTTATTACAAGTAGACACAGCACACGATTGAATGTAAAAAGCTTGCTTTTGTACATAATAAATATTTTTTATATGTGAATATGCTTCTTATTTGTGGCTATCGTATATATAAGTGAATTTCTTCACTTATATATACGATAAAGTTTTGCAGTGATTTGTTTGACAGATAATGTAGAATTGGCATGTAAACATAACATAGGACTAGTCACAAGTAGTAGTCTGTGTGGTGTAGTTTACCCATTTTATGGAAGCCTTGTTATGGAAAAATAATAACAAGACAAATAACTTTATTTCTCGTAACTGTGATTTGAAATTGTGTTTTTATTATTCTTTTTTTTTAATAAAAATTCCATAAAGATATTTTTAGGTTGCCTCAGTCAAAGTTCTGGAATATCAGCGTAGTTGACCATATATATATATATATATATTGAAGACATTGATATCAACTCAATCTTGTTGCCTCCAAAGCCTTGAATAAAATAGTGACTATATAATAGTACCGGTAAAGTAAACCGGCATAGTTTGTCTATATTTGACCTTCAGATGGAGAAGTGTTAAAGATTATGATTACAAATGAGGTTAATTTAGATCGTTAAACTAATGAGGTTTAAAAAATATACTACCATTCAAACATTTGGGGTCGGTAAGATTTTGTAATGTTTTTGAAAAAAGTCTCTGCTCATTAAGGCTGCATATTTGTTCAAAAAATACTGTGAAATATTACAATTTGAAGTAACTCCTATATATTTCACAAAAAGTATAATGTGACGCGCAGCTGAATTTTCAGCATCATTACTCCAGTCTTCAGCGTCACATGATCCTTCAGAAATCATTCTAATATACTGATTTGCTGCTCAAGAAACACTTCTTATTATCAATGATGAAAACAGTTGTGCCGATTCATATTTTTATGCAAAGCATTACTGTTTTTCAGGATTCTTTGATGAACCGAATGTTGAAAAGAACAGCATTTATTTGAAACAGAAATCCTTTGTAACATTATAAATGCCTTTGCTGTTGAAGTAGACAGCTACTTCAGCTGGCTTTCATATAGAACATAAGCTTCTCAGGAATTTTCTGAATAAGTTGCTTGTTCAGAACCTGATTTACTATGCTAACGAAATCTACCATTATGAAAAGTAATGGTAGCAAAAACCCTAAATAATACACATATCTATAAAAAAAAAATACATATCCAAAGTAGGTTTCCAGAAGGCAACCAGCAGCACCCATCCCCCATTCAGCCTACATTCCGCTCTGCACGAGGCTCAAACCAGGAGCTTCCGCTCGTTGTTGTTAGGGGGCGCTCGCGAGCTTTCAGGCCGCTCTAGAGATACAATCAGACCAGATGGGAGGGGGGAGTGAGAGGGAGAAGGAACTAGCTGAGAGCTGCCCTTTGTTTCTAGGTTTGCCGAAGAGTACGGGGAAGAGACCGGCGCGAGTCTATACTGTAAGTCACGCTCTAAACGCGGCGCAATGTTTGTGGAACACATGACGGCATGGCGGACTTTTAAACGGATACATTTTGCCCCGTTATAGAACGCGGAGAAGTTGTTTGTTTCGCGGGTTTGCTGTGCTCGGATCAGTCCGACATTACACCACCACCACCGCAGCAGCAGCAGCAGAATGAATGAATAAGTTTTGGGAATGTAACTCGAGCGGGGGACCGGGGTCAAGCGTACGGGAGGCGGGTAGGATCAATCATCTTAAAAGAGATGCTCGCGGTGTTTACCTCTGAGTTCGAGCTTTATAACTCAAGTTATTCGGTTTTAAAAGCACACACAGACACGGGAGAAGCACAGCATGGCCGACTGTAATCACACATACACACAACCGGGTCTTTTGTCTTCCCTTTTGGGTCTTGTTTGTGCTTTTTAAATGGACTTAAATCGTTTAAATAACGTCTAAGCTCTCCGCGAACGCAAGCAGTCGGGTATAAAACATAGCGGGGATGTTTAACCGGGTTTAAAAGTCGTTTTGTTTGATGTCTTTGGCTTTAATGGAGCTCTAATGTTTCTCTTGTTCCATAGTTGGGTCACGTTCTTAAAAACCACCAAAAATATTTGATATACATTTTTATATTTATAACATGATTTATTATCATGTTGGAAGAGGGCTTTAATGATTGTGGGATATTGTTGGCTAATGTTTAGCTATACAATGTTAGCCGGCTGCTAATTCACGTTAGCATTGGAAAAAAACACAAACAAGCGAACAGAAATTGGCGTTTGTTTGATCACTGCTCGTTAAAACACGTATCTTTTGATAGAACATTGTTTTATATCATAACTAATTATACGTGTTTGTAAATATGGGGTTATTACTCGCAAACAGCTTGTTAACCGGCATATGCATTTTTAGGTAGTAATTACAGCAGCATTCAAGTTATTTATTTTGTATTAATTAGAGTTGACTTCCAGCTGTTTCATGAATGAAATACTACATTTGTTTGTGACATATGGTTAAAAACAGTTGCTGAGAGCCAGTAGGAGATGCTAGTTGTTTGCTCCAGTGAATATTTCTCAGGGTGAATTTGTTTGTGTCAGTGTTTATGTACTTTTTCTTGTTTATTAAACAGCATTGAACATTTCCATTGTTATTGGCTGGGGAAAATATATATATACGGTTCATTTACCTCTGTGACAACTTGCCCCCGTGGTCTAGCATGTTGTCACAATTAAGCCCTGACACTCTTTATTAAAGGCTTTCAGCTAAATTTAAAACAGTTATGATACATTTTATAGCATTCAGTGCTGAAAAATACGTTAGTGTAATGTTTTTATACGGTCATCTAATTGTTGTAATCTGTAGTTTGATTTTTAAAAAAACAGTCTTTAATCTTTAAAATGTTTCATATTTTAAATGCAAGATAATCTAAGATCTGTGATTTATAATAGCGTTATAGTTATAGTAGTACTAATAGTATAGTAATAGTTATAATAGAGTCTCCTGAATTTTTCTAAATATTGTGTGTATACGCGCGCACACACTATATATATATGTATGTATGTATGTATGTATGTATGTATATATATATAATTTTTTATAACCTTTATGTAACCAGGAAATGAAACTCTTGAGATTTAAAATCTCATTTACAAGAGGGTCCTGGCCAAGATAGGCAGCACATTTAGTTACACACATTAACATTTGACTGGTATCTAAAAGACAAACTAAAATACAGTCTGATTTAAAAAACCCTTTGGGCAGGGTAGGCGCCAGAGCGCACAAAGTGAGGGGGCGGACACAATTTATTGGGGGGGCTGCTTTGAAAAAAAAATTCTGAAAATAATTTTCAGATGCAACGGGGGGAAAAACGGGATAAATATGAAACTTGTAAATAAAGTAATCTGATATATAGCCTATGTACAATTTAATAACATATAGCCTAGTTTGATATATGAATTGGGTGTTCGTCAAAGATTGCATGCGGTCAGAGATTCCCGTGTTTACAGCTCCGTAAAATAACCTACTGGAAGCTCTGTAGTTTTGCTGTATAGGCCTATAGATAAAAATATTACAATTACAAACACACAATAACATTTTAAGTTACTTCCATTTCTGCAAAAAAGAATGTAGGCCTAGTAATTGATGTTATAAATGCACACGCCTGATTTTTGTTTTAATTATCCATGCAATGCAATCAAGACTGAAAAAAAACAGAAGTGAATGTAAACCAGATTTGGCCCAGACTCTGTTGCTATCTGTGAAGCCAAGCATAAGAATAGCCTACTAATGTACATTTGTTAACCCACAGTAACAAATGTTAACAGATTAAAGAAAAAAAAAAAAAAGATGCGTCTTGTATAAGTTACATTTTCAGAAATAATAACGGCAGGCCTAATAATGTTATAATGTACCAACATTATGAACACAATAGGATATTTTAGTTCCCCTCACTTTACAACAAATCATTTAAATTTAACCGTATCAGAACAGAATAAGAATTTAAAAAGATTAATTCTAATGGATAAATATAATTGCAGTAAATAATAATATATGCTTAGCAATAAACATTCCAAAACAAATTAATTTATAAAGAAACGTAAGGTAAAGTTGGGCTTACCTTTCTCGGGCACAAATCCAAATGTGTCCATATTCGTGATGTAGCTGAAGCTAAACTATTAGCCTTATTAGGTAAAATAGGCTCTGTAGTTCACGTGTGTCCCAGTATCGACGGAAAAATATCATAATGAGCAAAAATATGCCACAGTGGACCGGGTCTCACGCCGAACGGCTGAGTTGTGAGGCGCCGGTGCGATCAAACAGCTGAAACATCAAATAGACTACTCCGTAATTTTTGGTCATACAGTAAAGGCATAATTCGAAACTGCAAAGTGTTAGCAGTTTGAAAATTCAAGAATAATAGCAAAGTTAATAAGAATTCTTTCTAAATGCAGCACCGTTCTTATTTCGCTCTGCATAACTTGAATGAAAAAAAATATATATTTTTTGCTTAGAACGAACCGAAATGAAAACATTTCGCTTTTAATCTGTGCATTTAACAACATGGGAGACCTTCCCAGGGCAGTACCTTGCCTCACCGACTAAAATCAGGGCGCCCACTACGGAGACGGCACCAGAGGTGGCACCGATGCTGCCTTTGGGGTCTTCACTGGAATATTTGAATGTAGTCATTGACATGCATTAAGGCACAGATTAATTAACCCACTTTTATGCCTCATTTCAAGGGCTGTGCTTTTATAGTTATGGTTATAGTTTTATATTTAACTGGATTCATTCAATGATTTATGAAAAGCAGTACAGATTTTTGTTTTTACATATGTACAGAAACTGAGCTTTTAAAGCATTAGGGTGAGATCAGACATATTAGTGTTGTATTTTTAGTGTGGTAGTTGTTATATACATGAGTATGAGCCTGAGAAGGAAGATTTTTCGTTCCTTGTATTCTCATTATTATTATTATTAGCTAAAATTATTAAATAAATATAAATGAGTATTTAAATAAATATAAAATATTTAAACCACAAATTGGTGTATTTTATAAATGTTTTATGTTTTTAAAAAAATCATCTTTCCTGTGTATGTCAGCAGCATAATATGTCTTGTTCATCAAGGCTGCCGGATTAAAATTAGTTTTATTTTCTATTACAGGCTTTCTGAAAACATACAGAACGCTGTTTTTCTGCCTCTCACTTCTTCCGGCTCTGCTGAGAGATGTCCACCCCTGACCCACCTATGGGCGGGACCCCTCGGCCGGGCCCTTCCCCAGGCCCTGGGCCGTCTCCAGGGGCCATGTTAGGGCCTAGTCCTGGACCCTCACCTGGCTCTGCTCATGGCATGATGGGCCCCAGCCCTGGGCCCCCCTCCTCAGGACACCCACTACCTCCACAGGGCCCCTCAGGTTACCCCCAGGACAACATGCACCAGATGCACAAGGTACTGGCAGGTTTTATAAACATGTGTCTGATTTATTAGTGGTTCTGTGGCATGTGTTTAGTTTCTGCTGTTTGGATGGTTCTTTGAGTCATTTTGTTTTGTATTGTTTTGAAGCCCATGGAAGGCATGCATGAGAAAGGCATTCCTGAAGATCAACGCTACGCTCAAATGAAGGGTATGGGCATGAGACAGGGTGGCCACAGTGGCATGGGACCTCCACCCAGTCCTATGGACCAACACTCTCAAGGTATCTGTCTGTCTGTTGTTCTAGCAGGTTTTTTTTTTTTTTTTAATCTGACTGCCAATCTATCACTCTTTCTGATGCTCTATCGCTTTTTCTGTCTCTCCGTCACTCTTTCTGTTGCTCTGTCTATCTGCCGTTCTACCTGTTTGAATCTGTCTGTGGCTGTGTCTGTATCGTTCTTTCTTTCTATCTGTCATTCTGTCTGTCTATTGTTTGCCGGTCTGTTTCTGTGCATTAGTCTATCGCTCCTTGTTCTATCGTTCTTTATATCTATTGTTCTATATCTGTCGTTCTTTGTCTTTTGTTCCACCTATGTGTCTTTGTATCTTTCTGTCACTATATTTGTCTGTCATTCTTTATATCTGTCATTCTGTCTATTTTTCTGCCTATGTTTCTTTGGATCTGTCTATTGCTTTATCGCTCTTTCTGTCATTTTATCTGTCTATCGGTCTTTCTATCTATCTATCTATCTGTTCTACCTGTCTGTTTCTTTGTATCTGTCTGCTGCTCTATAACTCTTTTTGGTCTGTTCTGCACTCTTTTCTATCCCTCCACCCAGTCCTATGGACCAACACTCTCAAGGTATCTGTCTGTCTGTTGTTCTAGCAGGTTTTTTTTTTTTTTTAATCTGACTGCAAATCTATCACTCTTTCTGATGCTCTATCGCTTTTTCTGTCTCTCCGTCACTCTTTCTGTTGCTCTGTCTATCTGCCGTTCTACCTGTTTGAATCTGTCTGTGGCTGTGTCTGTATCGTTCTTTCTTTCTATCTGTCATTCTGTCTGTCTATTGTTTGCCGGTCTGTTTCTGTGCATTAGTCTATCGCTCCTTGTTCTATCGTTCTTTATATCTATTGTTCTATATCTGTCGTTCTTTGTCTTTTGTTCCACCTATGTGTCTTTGTATCTTTCTGTCACTATATTTGTCTGTCATTCTTTATATCTGTCATTCTGTCTATTTTTCTGCCTATGTTTCTTTGGATCTGTCTGTTGCTTTATCGCTCTTTCTGTCATTTTATCTGTCTATCGGTCTTTCTATCTATCTATCTATCTATCTGTTCTACCTGTCTGTTTCTTTGTATCTGTCTGCTGCTCTATAACTCTTTTTGGTCTGTTCTGCACTCTTTTCTATCGCTCTTTCTGTCTGTCTTTGTCTCTCTGTCGCTCTTTCTGTCTCTCTGATTGTTTTAATTGCTTTTTATGTAAAGTACTTTGAATTACCATTGTGTATGAAATGCGCTATATAAATGAACTTTGTATATTTTTTTTCTATCTGTCATTCTGCCTGTTTGTTTTATCCGTCTGTAGCTCGCACTCTTTATCTCTGCCGTTCTGTCTGTGTGTCTGTCTGTCTATCATTCTACCTATCTGTCTGTCGCTCTGTCTATCTGTCTGTTGTTCTATCTGTTTGTCATTCTGTTGTTCTGTTTATCATTATATCTATCTGTTGTTGTTGTCGGTATCTGTTTTTTGGTCTTTCTATCTGTCTTTTGTTCTTTTTGTCTGGTGCTCTCTGTTCTATCACTCCTTCTGTCATTCTGTCTAAGTGGTTCTTTCTATCATTCTGTCTGTCTTTCTGTATATGTCCTTCTCGCTATGATATTTGCACGTGTGAAATATACAGATGTTTTGTGAGCTCTGTGTCTGTTATATGGAGAACAGATGGTGCGCTCATTGCTAAACCGTTTAGGCTTAGACTGGGTATAAAAAGTCATCCAACCGGTTTGCTCATATTTCCCTTTGATGTGCATTGCTTTGTTCCTCCGCTGGGGCCCGTCGCATGATTGTTTTCCATACAGAGAGAAATGTTGGGTGAACAGGGTTACTCTTTTGAAACGGAAAAACCCACAGCTGTTGGAAACCACAAAGTCATGACAGAAAAAGAAACAAATATAAAAGTAGGATTAGGGGTGTGCTATATATATCGTCTGCAATAATATCGTAATTGTTGTTTTAACGATGTGCGATTTGACATTATCGAGTATTTTGCAAAAACCATTCAAAACATCCCTACAGAGCGCACGCATACATTACGTGAAGCCTAGACTAGTGCGTGTGCGCATTTAGAGTGCGTTCTTTCACTGCATGATTCGGTCTATTAAAATGCATTTAGAATGATCACAAATTCAACACATGATGGCAGAAAATTTATATATTCACTTCCACTTCATATAGTTATTCAATTTCACACGAAGAGTGCCGTTTTTCTCCAAAAATTACCGTGATTACAAATGTGACATTGAATTCAATAAACAATAAGTTAATTAAGAGACTTACGTTTTAGACACCATATTGCTTGTTTTTGCTCTATTTCGCCAACAAAAATCATTCCAATACAGCCACAGTGCTGTTTTGTGTCTCTGAGCAACATGATGGTGTTTTGTTCTTGATTGAATCAACCTTTTAAATGATTCGGTTCAATCGCAATGACTCCCTTATTAACAGTGATTTGCTGCCACCTGCTGGCGGTTTTAATTTCAAATTTCGGCTTTTTTCCCCATGTTTTAAATCATTTCAAATATCAGTATTCAAAGTTTTATGTTTAATATATCAAAACATTATTTATGCATTTGTAATTGCAGGTTAAATGCATTCATGTCTTGCATTAAACAAAATACATGTGTGTAAATACATCTAAATGCCACTTCAGATGCAGCTTCTGTGTTGATTTCATTTGCTTGGTAACAGGTAACAGCCCAAATGTCATATTATTCTAATTCCCTGATTAAATAGAGATTTAAGAATTTAAGAATTTGACTCAAAAGATAATGGACACTTTTAGAAAAAATGGCTTTATAAAGGTAAAAATGCCCACACAATATAAAAATCAGTTTAAACTTATTGGAAAAGATTAATTTCTATCTGTATGAACTGACCACCACACAGAATATGAAGAATATTAAAAACATTAGGAGTCAGCTGTCTTCGGCAGTCCTTAAGGTACCAGCACAATAACACACTCAGCAAAATACCGTCTAATTATCGTTATCGATAAAATCCCAGAAAATATCGAGATATTATTTTTTGCCAATATCGCACACCCCTAAGTAGGATGTGTTGAAAGCAAGTTTGTTGTTGTTTGTGCAGTCCTGTAATTGTTGTGCACATTTATATTTTAGTGGTACAACTTGTGAATTTTCATTTTTATTCACAAAATTAGACCTTGTTTTTTTTTTTTTTTTTTTCTGATTTCCTGCAACCTTTGCCATTACTATTTTTTATTGCTCATACTATCTTAGTATCAAACCCCTAAGTAAGTATTCATTTTTGCCGTGTAACCCATCCTGCTCTGTGCCACAGACATGAATGAAAGCTCAAATTCAGAACGCATTAGCAGTTAAAGTAGTAATGCATTGGAAAACATTGCTTGGCTTGCTTGGCATTTTTCTACATTTTCTTCTGAAAAATCAAATGGTCTATGTCATAAAACATTTCACCACTTTATTTTTTCATAAGAATGAAGATTTTTCAAATCTTAATTTTAAAAATTAAGCATAAAAATGAATGTCCTGCATGTGAAAAAAGGCTGAGAATTAAACAAATAGTTGTAATCTGGCTCAGATTCAGACAGGAATCATGTTATTTTGTCGTCTTTTTTTTTTTTTTTTTTTCTGATTTCCTGCAACCTTTGCCATTACTATTTTTTATTGCTCATACTATCTTAGTATCAAACCCCTAAGTAAGTATTCATTTTTGCCGTGTAACCCATCCTGCTCTGTGCCACAGACATGAATGAAAGCTCAAATTCAGAACGCATTAGCAGTTAAAGTAGTAATGCATTGGAAAACATTGCTTGGCATTTTTCTACATTTTCTTCTGAAAAATCAAATGGTCTATGTCATATTTTTTTTCTAGGTTACCCCTCTCCTCTGGGTGGTTCTGAACATGCCCCCAGTCCGGTACCTTCTAACGGCCCTCCGTCTGGCCCCATGATGCCCTCTGGTCCTGGTGCCATGGAGGGCGGTGACCCGCAGGCCATGGGTCAGCAGAACCGGAGTGGAGGCGCCGGTGGTGTTGCAGGTTCGGGACCCAGCGGAGGACCTCCAAATGCAGGTGGACCTGGTGGCGCCGGCGGACCCACTCCTTTTAACCAAAACCAGCTTCACCAACTGCGGGCACAGATCATGGCCTATAAGATCCTGGCACGCGGGCAAGCTCTACCTGACCACCTCCAGATGGCGGTGCAGGGAAAACGGCCCATGCCAGGCATGCAGCCGGGGATGCCCAACATGCCTCCTGGCTCAGGACAAGGAGCAGGACCACCTGGACCAGGAGGCCCTGGACCTGGGGGACCCAACTACATTAGACCACAAGGTGAGGCGATATCTCATATTAAATTCAGCTCTTTAAAATGCTGAAATAAGCACCATATGAAATTAGGGGACGTTAAAGCGTGTTTTAGGATCCTTTTTTTTTTATTGCATTATTTTCAGTAAGAATTTCCTGCTCATTAAGGGCATATATTTAATCAACATTACACAGTACCTAAATGTTCAGTTTTAACCAAAACCAGCTTCACCAACTGCGGGCACAGATCATGGCCTATAAGATCCTGGCACGCGGGCAAGCTCTACCTGACCACCTCCAGATGGCGGTGCAGGGAAAACGGCCCATGCCAGGCATGCAGCCGGGGATGCCCAACATGCCTCCTGGCTCAGGACAAGGAGCAGGACCACCTGGACCAGGAGGCCCTGGACCTGGGGGACCCAACTACATTAGACCACAAGGTGAGGCGATATCTCATATTAAATTCAGCTCTCTAAAATGCTGAAATAAGCACCATATGAAATTAGGGGACGTTAAAGCGTGTTTTAGGATCCTTTTTTTTTTATTGCATTATTTTCAGTAAGAATTTCCTGCTCATTAAGGGCATATATTTAATCAACATTACACAGTACCTAAATGTTCAGTTAAAAAAAAGTTTAATCAAATATCGTAATATAGTATTTTAACTTGGCTTTCAACCTTTCAAACTGTAGAAAATCTCCTAAATGGTCTTGAAATATAATTTATATTAATAAAAATAACTTTTTGTATGTTACAGGAATGGTCGTACCAAACATGCCTCTTCTAGGACCTTCTGGTGTTCCTCCAGGCCTGCAGGGACAACCCACCAATGGACCACCTAAATCCTGGCCTGAAGGTTAGTAAATTGTGAAAATTATCCACAGTCACTACCAATGATCAATTCAATATTTAGCCTTATTGTATTCTGCAAAGAGACACTCATATCTCAGAGTCACATATTTACCACGTCTTTGTTAATCCCAGGGCCCATGGTGAATGCTGCCGCCCCTGCAAGTGCCCCACAGAAGCTGATACCTCCTCAGCCCACGGGCCGCCCGTCTCCAGCACCACCTTCGGTTCCTCCCGCCGCTTCACCTGTCATGCCCCCTCAGACCCAGTCTCCAGGACAACCGACCCAGCCGCCCATGGTGCTTCATCAGAAACAGAACCGCATCACACCCATCCAGAAACCCCGGGGTCTGGACCCAGTGGAGATCCTCCAGGAGAGAGAGTACAGGTGAGATGAAGAAAAGAAAGGACACATATTGAAGATTGAGTAAACGCACTCTTCAAATCCTGGAAACAACCTTTTTAACTGTTTTTTTTTTCCCCAACATTTGATGTCGCTGTTCCTATCTGTCAGGTTACAGGCTCGTATTGCTCATCGTATTCAGGAGCTGGAGAACCTTCCAGGCTCTCTGGCTGGAGACTTGAGGACCAAAGCCAACATTGAGCTCAAGGCACTTAGGCTCCTGAACTTCCAGAGACAGGTATGACTTGGATCTGCTCATTACAAAGAATAGTTGACTTTCCTTTTTTGCAGCGCTTACAAATTGTAATTGTGTTGTCATTATCACCCAGTTCAGTTCTACACAAGAGACATTTTATTCACACAGCACAAGTACTGACCTGTTTTTTTGATGACCGATCTGATCAACAGCTGTTTTTAAACATTCGACTGATGTCCGATAATTGCTTTTCTCAGATGCGGATTATTGTCTTATACATCAGTGCATCCCTAATTATCAAATAAATTTGATCTATTGTTTGTTACTTACCTAATTTATTTTGTGTGTATTTATTTACCTATTTTTTTATTAGTTTTATTACAAAATTCCTGAATTTTTGTCAGATTACATGTATATCTTGCTGGGAATTATAATGCAAAATGCTCTGGAAGGTGGTTGTGATTGACTTCAGCCCAGTCCTGCTACGTTTTAGTGGTTTTTGACCCATGTTGTCCTTCTCAACGCAGCTCCGCCAGGAGGTCGTAGTGTGTATGAGGCGTGACACGGCCCTGGAGACAGCGCTGAATGGCAAGGCCTACAAGCGCAGCAAGAGACAGTCCCTGCGTGAGGCTCGTATCACAGAGAAACTGGAGAAACAGCAGAAAATCGAGCAGGAACGCAAGCGCCGTCAGAAACACCAGGTAATGCACCGTTCTAGCTGCTTTTTAAATCATGCTAAATGCGTGCTTCACACTTTAAACTGATTCACCAATGACAAAAGATTGTTCGTGATGGAACCGCCTGTGTTCGTAGGAGTATCTCAACAGCATCCTTCAGCATGCAAAGGACTTCAAGGAATATCATCGCTCCATCACCGCAAAGATCCAGAAGGTGACCAAAGCCGTAGCCACGTACCATGCCAACACTGAGAGAGAGCAGAAGAAGGAGAATGAGCGTATCGAGAAGGAGAGAATGAGAAGGCTGATGGTGAGATGCACGGACTTGTTTTTCAAATAAAGACAAAATAAACCGGTAGACCTGTTTTTCTGAGCAGATGTCTTTCTGAAAAAACATATTTTTTGTGCGTTTCTTCCAGGCTGAAGATGAAGAGGGTTACAGGAAGCTGATCGATCAGAAGAAGGACAAACGTCTGGCTTACTTGCTGCAGCAGACGGACGAGTATGTGGCCAACCTCACAGAGCTTGTCAGAGCTCACAAAGCTGTCCAGGCCCTCAAAGACAAGAAGAAGAAGAAGAAAAAGAAGGTGGTGAGATTCACTGGATTGGAAAGAGTTTCCGTAAAGGAGTCTTAAGTCGAGTTATCCTCAGGTGTTTATCTTCCTTTCTGCTTTCCTCCTCACAGAAGCCAGAGAACGCTGAGGGTGGAGCTCCTGCTTTGGGTCCAGATGGAGAGGTGAGAGCTTAAAGTATATTTGGCTATAGCGGCTTTCACACAGGATGAGCTTTTTCATAGTTCCTAGAACTATTGGTGGAAGAAGATCCCGCTTTTTGGCATGTTTGCACCACAGGAACTAGGAACGTATTTAGTTCTAGGAACTCCGTTTGGGAGAACTAAATTAGCTCCTACTTCAGCGTAGGGACTTAAACAGTTCTATAGGTACTACCAGTGACGTAAGTGTACGCTTATTGGCCAAACACATACGAAAAACCGGCTACTCAACATTTTTAACAAGCCGTGTAAACATATTTACTCCACAAACATGGAAAACTGCGATAACAACAATTTACCTGTTGTCTGCAGCATTTTGTTCTTTTCTCAGCCTTGATGATATGTAACTGCAAGTTGTCATTGGAGATTTAGTCCGATTTTCATGCTCTTTCGATCATGTAAATGGTGTGTTTAAATTCCATCTCCGTTATCATGACACGCAACAAAAACTGCTCTGAATGAAGACGGGAAAACCAGGAAAAACGGCCTGAGTGGGAAATTGGTTCTCTTGGAACGACCATGCTGACTAGTTCCTATAACTACGTGGTGCGAAAGCGCCTTATATTTGGCTTTTTGCAATTAGTTTGGCTGATCATTTGCACTAATGTAGCTCTTTATTCAAAATATTAGTTTTTTGTAATGGAGTTTTGAGTGAAATTTGTAGAAGTTAATTTAATTGCAACAATTTTTGGTGTCTCCCGTAACTAATTGCATATATCATCTCGGACATGGTGGAATTGTATTTAAACATCACTGCTCAGTGTTGCATATTATAATCTCAAGGCTCCAACTTGAAATATCAGAACTTTAAAAGTGCATAAAATTATAGTGAATTTTTTTTCCCCCTAGTTTTGCTTTGCTTTAGACTTCTTTTTATTGGCTAGATGTTTCTCATGTGTAGAGAAACTTGCCTGCAAGTCACAGTGATGCTTAATTTGTAAGTTTATGTAATTGAAAATCATGGACACTTATTAGCCACAAACAGTGGTAATTAATCTAATACAGCTATGTTTTTGTCTCCTATTGTAGCCTCTGGATGAGACCAGTCAAATGAGTGACCTACCGGTGAAGGTGATTCACGTGGACAGTGGGAAGATCCTCACCGGCATGGAAGCTCCTAAAGCTGGACAACTGGATGCCTGGCTGGAGATGAATCCTGGGTGAGTGAGACACTCTTTAGGGATCTCGTTCTTTCAGAATATGATGTTTCTCAGTACTTGTGTATCTATTACTGAAATGGATAGGAGAAGCATATCATAAACACTTAATATGTATTTATTATTTACATATATAAGCAGGTTTAAAAATGTTTGAATATGTATAAATGCTATTTTGTTCATTGTCTGTAGGTACGAGGTGGCCCCGCGGTCTGATAGTGAAGACAGCGGCTCGGAGGAGGAAGAGGTATGGTTGTTCTTCAGCTCTCATATCTGTATTTCTGTTCAGTGTCTCTTGAGCACTGTGCTTTCTGCAAGGGCTTTACATGCAGTTGAAGAGAAAACTCTCTTGTCTGTGTGTTCACGGCCTTGATGTCAGAATGTAGGGCATCATCAGAATAAGATGAATGGCTAGTTTATCGTGTGATACTGCTTTCATGTCATGATTCAGATAACAAATGTTTGTCTTAATGCACCAATAGAGTGTCCAATACAGTAGACTGATATTAAAAAACCATTCATGATTTGATGTTACACCCACATAAAGATGTAAAATGTGTATTAATTGAACCATATAGTGTATGTATTTTACATTTACAACATTCTATTAATTTTATTTATAATCCCATCAAATATTTTATATAATTACAAAATTGTCTATTAGTTTTAAATTTCATAACTTCATAACATAAATTCATTTTTATTTATAATCACATTAATTAATTATATATTACAAAATTTGAAATACTCTATAATTAAAGTGCCTGTCTAATAGATTTACATGTATATATGTCATAATCTGTAATTGTGTGTGTATATGTATGTATGTATTATATATGTATATGTATATATATATATATATATATATATATATATATATATATATATATATTATATATATATATATACATATATATATATATATATATATATATATATATATATATATATAATGTGGTTGTCTGGTAGTTTTATACTTATGCATGTCACTCTCCATTAAAAATGTATAATCACAAATTAACTTCATAATTACCAAATCTGAAAAATCAATTAATGTAAATTTTACTTTTATACATTTCATAACCTCTATTTCTTAACATTTATTTCTAATTTAAATGTATGTGCTAGTAGTTTTACTTTTATACAATTAATTTGTTTAATTTCATTTAGTTACATTTATTTTTAATTACATTTTTATGTGGTTGTCTGATAGTTTAGCATTTATATATTTCATAAACGCCATTCATTTAATTAATTGATAAATATTAATCATTTAATTAACTGATTGATTAATAACTCAAGATCTTTACATTTCATTTTATTCACGTACTATTGTGTTTTTTGTTTGTAAAGGAGGAGGAGGAGCAGCCTCATCCGTCTCAGGCCCCAACAGAGGAGAAGAAGATTATTTCAGATCCAGACAGTGAGGATGTGTCTGAGGTGGACGCCCGTCACATCATTGAGTACGTTACTGGTTTAGAGCTGTGCTTTTTTACCACATCCAGATGGGATTATGTTGTCCCGTCCCATGCTTCTTTTGGAATTCTTTTCTGTTATGGTAACATCCATGATGTCTGAAACAGGCATGCCAAGCAGGATGTTGACGATGAATACGGTAATGCAGCATTCCTTAGAGGCCTGCAGTCGTACTATGCCGTGGCTCACCAAGTCACAGAGAAAGTGGAGAAGCAGTCGAGCCTGTTAATAAATGGACAGCTCAAACAGTACCAGGTACAGACCAAACAAACTGCAAATACACCTCAAAGTCTTTAGTGAACTGATCAGATTTGTTAAATGGCATGCTGTTATTGCTTCTGTCTCGTCTGCAGATCAAAGGTCTGGAGTGGCTGGTGTCTCTTTATAATAATAACTTAAATGGCATTCTGGCTGATGAAATGGGTTTGGGAAAAACCATCCAGACCATTGCACTCATCACCTACCTCATGGAGTACAAACGCCTCAACGGACCCTTCCTCATCATCGTCCCCCTCTCGTGAGTCACTTTTCACTCTCTCTACACTAGAGCTACACCATATTGAAAAAACATTGTGGTGTTTCGTCTTTCTGCGATTTATACTTTACACGTTTTATTAAATGATTTAAATAGCTATATTTGGACACAATCATTCTACAATGATTGGGGTGGTTGTGTTGGTGAGTACATCAGCATATAAAATAAAATTCAATAATTTTTTTTCAGAATCGTTCTTTTAGGGCTGAAAAATGTTGGGTGTTTACACTTAAGGTATACTCTATACTAGAACCAACTCAAACCTATTTCGGTAACCAAAAGTAAAACACAATTTGTCTACAAAGGCCTCAATTCCACAGTTTTTGTTCCATTCAATATGACAAAAATACTAAAAATAATTATTTTGATTCTAAAAAAAAAAGTGTTAGGAAATGTATTGTAACATTAGTATTATACTATAAAAAGGGAAAAGAGCGAGTGTATATAAAACAAATTATAGTACAACTATAAAATTACAATATTTACATTTTGCATTCGTCATTTTCAAACTTTTATTCCAGCAGATTGTTTATTTACACATGTGCAGCTCATGATACGGTTTTTCAGAATGCCTTTTACTGTCAAGCGAGACACAGAAACACTGTATCATGAGCTTCAAGCGTGCAGATGACCATTGTGCCATATTTCACTCTGAAACCCACAGTGTTTATTTCAGTCGCAGCCTTCAACCGCTCTAAGCCATATTGTAGTTTTTATTGATTTTATTTGGATACATATTATGCAGCCCTACTCTACAGTGCAGAAATGTTTGTATATCTATCCGTAACTTATATATGCCTAAACCATCTTATTTTTTCATTTTGTATTATTGATCTATTACACTTGGTAATATTTCAACACATAATTACAGTGGTGTGAAAAAACGTTGGCCCCCTTCCTGTTTTTTTAATTTTTTGCATATTTGTCACACTTAAAAGATTCAGATCATCAAACAAATTTTATATTACACAAAGATAATGCAAGTAAATACAAAATGCAGTTTTTAAATGATTATTTCTTTTATTAAGGGAAAAAAGCTGTCCAAACCTGCCTGGCCCTATGTGAAAAAGTAATTGCCCCCTAAATCTAATAACTGGTTGTGCCACGCTTTGCAGCAACAACTGCAATCAAGCGTTTGCGATAACTGGCAATGAGTCTTTCACATCGCTGTGGAGGAATTTTGGCCCACTCTTCTTTGCAGAATTGTTTTAATTCAGCCACATTGGAGGGTTTTCGAGCATGAATGGACTGTTTAAGCATCTCAATCAGATTTAAGTCCGGACTTTGATTTGGCCACTCCAAAACGACCTCTCGGATGAGTAGTTGTTGTGCTCTTGGAGTAATTTTGGTTGGGCGGCCACTCCTAGGAAGGTTCACCATTATTCCAAGTTTTCTCAATTTGTGGATAATGGCTCTGACCGTGGTTCACTGGAGTCCCAAAGCCTTAGAAATGGCTTTATAATCCTTTCCAGACTGATACATGTCAACTGTTTTGATTCTCATCTGTTCTTGAATTTCTTTAGATCGCGGCATGATGTGTTGCTATTTAAGCATGCTTCACTTTATCAGACAGATTCTATTGAAGTGATTTCTTGATTCAACAGGTCTGGCAGTAATCTGGCCTGGGTGTGGCTAGTGAAATTTAACTCAGCTTTCTAAAATAATGTGGTTAATTGCAGTTCTTTCATGATTTAACAGGAGGGGGCAATTAATTTTTCACGTAGGGCCACGTAGGATTGGACAGGTTTTTTCCCTTAATAAATGAAATCATCATTTAAAAACTGCATTTTGTTTTTACTTGCATTATCTTTGTGTAATATTTAAATTTGTTTGATGATCTGAAACATTAAAGTGTGACAAACATGCAAAAAAATAAGAAATCTGGAAGGGGTCAAACACTTTTTCACACCACTGTATATATGATGATTTGTTTTCCTAACAGGACTCTTTCGAACTGGGTGTACGAGTTTGATAAGTGGGCTCCATCTGTGGTGATAATTTCTTATAAGGTGATTACTTGATTCATTTGTGCAGTAAACAATGTATTGAAATGAGGTCATAAAACAATTTTCAGCAAATTCATCGGTTTTCCCTAAACTAATACTAAATAATAGAAAATAAAACTGTCACTGAAGCAAGTGAAGCATATTACAGGATTAATAACTAATTTTCTTTGCTTGTTTTCATCTCAGGGCTCTCCTGCTGCTCGCCGTGCATTTCTTCCCATTTTGCGCAGCGGCAAGTTCAATGTGCTGGTCACCACTTATGAGTACATCATCAAAGACAAGCAAGTGCTGGCCAAGGTACAAACTTGGCCAGGCCTGGGCGCAGAATTAAATTACGGAGCGTGCATCTAAAATTAGTGAGGCTTCTTTAGCCTTAATGCACATCTATTTTTACACTGATTATTGCTATAATTATTACTGTGTCAGTTATTGTGATTTTGAGAGTGAATTCCGCATTTATGTGTGGATGTCATTCCCCAAACTTTGCAGAGTGTATGTGGCTGCTGGTCCTCTTAACAGCATGAAAAACAAAAGTTTTATGCAAATTCTGATTGGATTATACATAGCCTAGATAGCATGCAACGAGCGTTCCCTTTATAGTCACTAAAAAGCTGTCAATCTTAGTTCATTGTGATCTCACAAAGTTCTGTTATAATCAGTGACGCTCTTTACATTGCACAATGAATCTCTTATTTAAGTCGTGTCTACACTTACTTTGTTATTATGAGATGATTTGCAAGCGTGCTAGACACAAACCTGCATTTTGAGCATTAAGCCAAGGATGATATGCTTCTGATTGGCCACCCTCTGGCAGCCCACTGTACAGCTGGGCCTGAACCTGCCAGTTGTCGAACTATCATCATCAGACAAGTGATTTATTTTTTTAACAAGCTTTTTGACTGAGAACCGCTGGCTTAGTTTCTGATTCTCCTCTCTCTTTCAGATTCGTTGGAAGTACATGATAGTGGACGAAGGTCACCGTATGAAGAATCACCACTGCAGACTGACTCAGGTGTTAAACACGCACTACCTGGCGCCCCGGCGTGTGCTGCTCACCGGAACGCCGCTGCAGAACAAGCTCCCCGAACTGTGGGCGCTGCTCAACTTCCTGCTGCCCACCATCTTCAAGAGCTGCAGCACCTTCGAGCAGTGGTTCAATGCTCCGTTCGCCATGACCGGAGAGAAGGTTTGAAAACTTTTAGTAGGTGTACTAGTACATTGTGTCATCTAGCTCTATAAACGTACAATGTTTAAACTACTTCCTGTCGTGTTCTAAAGGTGGACCTGAACGAAGAGGAGACCATTCTGATCATCCGTCGTCTGCACAAAGTGCTCCGCCCCTTCCTGCTCAGGAGACTCAAGAAGGAAGTAGAAGCCCAACTGCCCGAGAAGGTTTGCTTTATGCTTGAAACTCTTCAGCCAAAAAAAATATATTTTCGATATTTAATGTGCATTTCAATTTGTGTGTTTGTTCTGACATAGCTTAAAGGGTGATTTTATTTTTATTATAATTTTCTTTTCCTCCCACTTCAATCAAAGGAAGTATCAAGTAGTACTGTTTAATAAATACACAATTTTTTTTTTTAAATCTGCCATATTCAATGTATACTTTCCACAGTTTTAATTAACAATAAAGAACATGCAAACATTGGTTTATATGCACCAATTAAGAAATACATAGTAATAAACAACAATATTTATCTACATGCTCTACTAGGGATGTAACGATTAATCTTGAGCCGGATGAAAATCGATTTAAATATGTGACTATTCAAATCGGTTGAGATGCTAAACAAATCGCGATTCAGTTAGGGGTAGGAGTTTATATGAATGTATGTCTGAGGGGAACTTACTGTCTTTCGATGGTATTTTTTATTTTCCTCTTGCCTCTGTATAATGCATATCAGGGCTCCAGACTCATTCTTCCCACTGGTTGCTCTTTTGCAACTAACTTTCTCAGCTGGTCGCACGAGCACATGATTTGGTCGCAATATTAAATTTTTTTTTGGCACTACAACATGGGATTATTCAGTGCATGCTGATGAACTTTTATCATAGTTTATAGTTATATGGAAATAAAAGTTGTTGACATTCAACCCATTCTTTATCATCAGTAGTATTATTTGTGATTTGAATTTTGTGAATGGGAGTTTCTCTTTTGCTGTGTTAAG